TCACTTTTCTCCCACTGGATTTTAGAGTTGTTCTTTGCCAAAGCAGGAGGGTCTGTTGGACAGTTAGTGTCTAACAAGACCACTAACAACTACACTCTAACTTTCTACAACATTCATGGACATTGGTCAACTCCCTGTGGACCAATGCCTATGTGTACAATATTTCTTTTGTTCGAACTGTTTGATTCTCTGATTGGCGATTTCAACGGTTCTGTTAAGTCCTCTGAGATGACTACTGTTGACATTTAGGGCTATTCAAGAAAAAGTGGTATTGAAATGAATTTAACAATAGTTTAGGTGCTGGTCCGTGCAATTATTGTCTGACGTTAAACTGGTCCGTGGCACTAAAAAGGTTGGAGATCACAGCTTTACATGACTCACTAACCGCTCCAACATAAAACACAAACATGAACTGGTCCCACACATTACACACACACACACTAACTGCTCCTACATAACACACACAAGAACAGGGGAGCAAAGCTGTGCCCCACTTTTGCTCACTCACTCTGGGCACACATCATTAACCTAAAGGGCTTCAGTGGGATTACCTGCACACTGCTTTGTCTTGATAGTGGAACTACACGTGCACACATACATAGTAATGGTAGCAGCATCAGTAGCAGCAGCAGCAGTAGTACACAAAAGTACACATTCCTGTTGTATACTTTTATCAAAATTTCCCCACTGTGGGACGAATAAAGGAACTCTTATCATATCAGCAGGTGTATTTAAAGCCAGAGCAGAGGCTCACATCACACTGGAAACGTTTTCACTTTTACATAATAGCACACCACTTGTATTCAATTTTCTCATTTGTGTTTGGATTGACGGTAATTAAAGCCATTCCCCGTACCGGCAGCAGGAGCAGCAGCAGCAGCAGCAGCAGCAGCAGCACAGGAGGAGCAATATTTTTGTTTGCTCTGTTAGTTCCTTCTGCATTGTAATGATAATAATGATGATGGTTTTCATTGTATTTTTGTTATAATAATAATAATAATACAGTGCATTTTATTTAAAAGCGCCTTTCTAAACACCCAAGGACACTGTACAGAGCATAATAAAACAGAAGCAACAGAATAAAACAGTAAAATACAGTATGGAATGGTGGGTGTGTGTGTGTTAGGTGGGGTAGGACAGTCTGAACAGATGGGTTTGGAGTCTGGATTTGAAGAGTGGGAGAGAGTCGATGGTACGGAGGTCAGGGGGGAGAGAGTTCCAGAGCTGGGGGGCAGAGTGGCTGAAGGCTCTGTGTCCCACGGTGATGAGTCTGGCTGGGGGGGAGTGTGAGAGTGGAGGAGGAGCGAAGTGTGCGGGCAGGAGTGGCAGGGTGGAGGAGGTCAGATAAGTACGGAGGGGCTAGGTTGCGAAGTGCTTTGAAAGTGGTGAGGAGTATTTTGAAGTTGATGCGCTGTTTAATAGGAAGCCAGTGGAGTTGTCGGAGTACGGGGGTGATGAGTTTTGTTGGGGAATCACTGGTATCATCCGTTCTGTTCAGGAGAGATGAACGTGTCATGTTTTTAGCACCGATTGATTTTTTAGTTTATTTTGTATTATAATATTAAGATTAAGAGATCCTTTGTCCCACAGTAGGGAAATGTCAGTGTTGCATCACCAGTTAAAGAAGAGAATGAGGAGCACACAACATTAGATAAATGAACAATAACTCTATATAAAATACTGTATATTCTAACATGATAGCAGCAAGTGGCTAAGTAAAGTGACAGTGGACACATGTGGTTTCATATTGCACATTCAGACATTTGTTCAAATGATTGCACAGATGCACAACATGTGAAGTCAGGTCGATAATGTTTGTTAGTCCTCATTGTTCGATGTACAGTCTGACAGCAGCAGGAAGGAAAGATCTACGGAACATCTCTTTTTCTTTACAATACATTCTTGTCCTGGTGGAGGTGTTCTTCAGTGGAACACTCTGCTTTAAAGTAGAGCACTGGTCTAAAGTAGGGCAGTAGTCAGCAGAACAGAGGATCTGGAATGAGGTGGTCTCCTACTGTGACCCAGAACTGGATCAGGCGCACACATCTGCTGCTGTCAGCTGCAGATACAGAGGGACATCCACACAAGGCTCTTCTTTTGGCCCTGTACATGCTGCACCATCTATATACAGTATGTAGGTGCTGGACCTGGAGAGGGTAAGCTTGTAATCAATATCAATTCAATGTATTCTTGTATAGCCCTAAATCTCAACATTAGTCATCTCAGAGAACTTTACAAAACCGTTGAAATCGTCAACACGGACCAGAGAATCAACAGTTTAGACACAAAATATAGAACACATATTTATTGGACCATAGGGAGAGACCAATGTCCATGCAAGTTGATATTTGTACATAAATGTTGTAGAATGTTAAAGTGTCATGGATCATCATCACAGTCCTTCTAGACACTAACAGTCTAACAGACCCTCCTGCATCGGCAAGGAAAAACTCTGAAACCCAGTGGCAAAAAAGTGAGAAACCTCAGGGAGATTCACATTAATTAAGAGAGGGATCTGCTCCACGGACGGACGGGCTGTAGATCCAGGACCTACTGTAAGCTACAGAACGAGGACCAAGGCCACGCAGCTTGTCAGTTGTGTGTAGCAGGTATGGGCCTCCTTGTTTTTGAGTGTCTCGCGACCGTATGCACTGTTAATCATACGTCACACTTTCACTTCTCATCACTTAGTTGTGGGTCTTTTGCGGTCAAATGACATCAGCAGACGGTTAAACACATATGGTGACCCCTGCCGAAAGCACACACACACAGTCACAGGCACACACACACACACACACAGTCTAGTCTAAGACACTACAAGAGCAGAGGGCAGACTGAAAGAACTGTCTGTGGTGCTGGAGGAGGGCAGGCAGGAGGAGCTGTGATGGAGCTGGAGGAGCTGATGTGGAAATAGACAATGGGAGGTGACAGAACTCATTCTATGGGCCGGTGCATCAGGAGCTGAAGCGACTACTGAAGAACACTCAGAGACAAGTGAACGCGTAATGTGAGTAGAGCAGGTTCAGTCCTCACAGTTTAGTGATGTGAGATCACCAAGACTTTTTAAAGAGGAAGAGGATTCCTATTTGATCTTAGAAAGTGTACTTTATTAATACACATGTACACTACAAAGTAAGAGATCACACGTAAAATAAATCAAAAGAAAGAAATCATGTAGTGGTAGAATTGGAAACTATATTCTGTCAGATTGAGATGTCCTTTAGGAAGGCCCTTTTATAAAGGACGTGTGAGTCTTCCTCTGTAGCAGGACCTTTATCTTCAGAAAATCGGAACTCGCACAGATCACAGGATGTCAATGCTTTAACTGCCCCCAGAATCAGAACAGAAACCTCCTTTCAGGAGATTAAGTTACTCCAAAGTCTTAATGGGACATTTTGGCACCCCTGGCCTACATATCTTTGAGGTTTGAGGGTTTTGTTGGGAATGCCTTATGGCCGGGAGGTTACAAAGTTATAGTTCTTGAAGCAATTCTCTTTTTTTAAGCGTAAGAAGTATGGATGATTGTTTCCCTGAAAAATGGGGAAAAATCTATGTTTTGAAGTCAAAGTGGCCCTCAGTCAAACACACTACGAAACGCTCCTGCTGAAGCCAGGCATAAAAACGCTGCTTCCAAAGTCTGACATCATTCATGATTATTGCATGGAGACAGGGGGCTGGGGGGGTGTGGGCTGTATTTCAGCGTGAAGCCTCGGATGTGTATTAAGTCAAGGCAAAATGTCAGGCAGAGCTGCATCACAGAGAGGAAACAGGGCTGTTCCCTGGTGGGTCTGACATATCGCAGTGCAGAGACAGGTGGGCTGCGGGCACATTATGTAAGCTGCACAAAGACAGAGCTGATGAGATGGAGCTGACTTTGCAGCTCCCTCAGAGGCAGCTCTAAAGGCTCTGCTTAGCAACACTAGAGGCAGCTCTAAAGGGTCTGCTTAGCAACACTAGAGGCAGCTCTAAAGGGTCTGCTTAGCGACACCAGAGGCAGCTCTAAAGGGTCTGCTTAGCAACACTAGAGGCAGCTCTAAAGGGTCTGCTTAGCAACACTAGAGGCAGCTCTAAAGGGTCTGCTTAGCGACACCAGAGGCAGCTCTAAAGGCTCATGCAATCGCTTTGCCCCAGAATCAACCTCATTAGGGTCACCAACCTGACCCTGAGTCATGTGTGGATAAAACATATTATTTTCAAAAACACCAGCTCAACATCGCCATCTCCAGGTGTCCAGCCCCAACTCAAACCAAAATGCACTTACCTTGATTCAAAGTAGTTGATATATATATATTTTTTTATTCATGACAATTCATTTGAAAATGCTTCTTTTGAGCTGCGAAATATTGTTATGGCTCTCCACAAAGCTGACTTTGGAAACACTTTAATAATACTACATTCATTTTGATTCAGAAATGATGAGACAGCTACATCCTGTGAGGCAAACGGGTGCTACTTTGTATTCACCTCCTTGTTATGTGATCATCATCTCCACACACTTATTGTTTATGTAAGAACCCCAATCCAGAGCTCTGCGTGAGGGGAGAGAGGAGGTGCAGACCCAGTCTAGAGGTCTGTGTGAGGGTAGAAAGAAGGTGCAGACCCCAATCCAGAGTGAAGGGAGAGAGGAGGTGCAGACCCCAATCCAGAGCTCTGTGTGTGGAGAGAGAGGAGGTGCAGACCCAGTCCAGAGGTCTGTGTGAGGGTAGAAAAGAGGTGAGAGCCCAATCCAGAGTGAGAGTAGAAAGGAGGTGCAGAGCCCAATCCAGAGTGAGGGTAGAAAGCAGGTGCAGACCCCAATCCAGAGTGAAGGGAGAGAGGAGGCTGTGCGTGCTTCTGGACAGTCCTCCACACTAATGGGTCTCTGTGAACGCTTCATTCACGCTCATCATTGTCTCTATAATGTAATCAGCAGCTCTTAGCAGAGCGAGAGCTGAGCGCGGACTTCTTGGGTTTCTGTGATTCAGGCGGAAATGGATAAGATCTGTGACTCTTGTGACTATTTAGAGACGAGCTCCTGAGGAGAGGAAGGAGACAGAGGGAGGAGACGGGGAGGAGACAGAGGAAGGAGACAGAGGGATGAGACAGAGGGTGGAGACAGAGGGATGAGACAGAGGGATGAGACAGAGGGATGAGACAGAGGGTGGAGACAGAGGGATGAGACAGAGGGTGGAGACAGAGGGAGGAGACAGAGGGTGGAGACAGAGGGAAGAGACAGAGGGTGGAGACAGAGGGATGAGACAGAGGGATGACACAGAGGGAGGAGACAGAGGGTGGAGACAAAGGGAGGAGACAGAGGGAGGAGACAGAGGGAGGAGACAGAGGGATGAGACAGAGGGAGGAGACAGAGGGATGAGACAGAGGGTGGAGACAGAGGGATGAGACAGAGGGTGGAGACAGAGGGAGGAGACAGAGGGTGGAGACAGAGGGAAGAGACAGAGGGTGGAGACAGAGGGATGAGACAGAGGGATGACACAGAGGGAGGAGACAGAGGGTGGAGACAAAGGGAGGAGACAGAGGGAGGAGACAGAGGGTGGAGACAGAGGGATGAGACAGAGGGATGAGACAGAGGGAGGAGACAGAGGGTGGAGACAAAGGGAGGAGACAGAGGGAGGAGACAGATGGAGGAGACAGAGGGAGGAGACAGAGGGAGGAGACAGAAGGAGGAGACAGAGGAAGGAGACAGAGGGAGGAGAAAGAGGGAGGAGACAGATGGAGGAGACAGATGGAGGAGACAGAGGGAGGAGACAGAGGGAGGAGAAAGAGGGAGGAGAAAGAGGGAGGAGACAGAAGGAGGAGACAGATGGAGGAGACAGGGAGGAGACAGAGGAGTTACTGAGTTACTCCACTATAAAAGTAACTAGTTACCAGTAAAAGTAACTTTTGCGTTACTTTTTCGTTTGTTGTGATACCAAGCTTTAGCTGGTTGTAATTTAGGATAACTTCTAAGTAGATTAATTGTTGCAACAACGCCACCCTATTTTAGTATTAGTATTAGTATAGTAGTTAGTGTAGGGAACTGTCCTGCAAAGCACAAGACAGGCCAAGGTTCCTTTTAAATGACATTGCATTTATTTTTATACATTGATAAAACGAACATTATAAAACTTGCAATTGAAAGATACTATTTAAAAATAGAGGGGCGACAGTGGCTCAGTTGGTAGAGCATTGGCCTTTGAGCCTGAAGGTTGTGGGTTCGAGCCCACCACAAGACCTACTTCATGACTCCCACTGATGACTGCTGTCGTTGTGTCCTTGGGCAAGACACTTAACCCCACTTTGCCTGAAGCTCCCACTGAAAGATCTCAACTCCTGTGGACTCACCGCCTGCAGGAGGATCAGTGGTGGTGCTCTGTGTACTGGGTGCAGCTCTGACTGCCGCCCCCCCGACCCAGAAATTGATTAAGGGGAAGAAAATGGATGGGTGGATGGATGGATATTTAAAAATAATGAGCTCCCACATACACATACGACACTCCAGCAGCCCTTGCGCCTGCCAGACCAGAACCAGGGAAAATCCAGTGCGCAGTGTGCGGGGGCAAAGCAGCGCACAGGCTGTCCTACGACGCGGATACCAGCTGCCAATCCCGCAGCGCTGTTGCCCCAAATGAATGAGCACAGCAAAGCCCAACAATGCCCAACACAGACATGGCTAATCACAACGCCGGATGAGGCAGCACGCTTCGGCGTGCAACACACAATCAAGCCGTGTAAAATAAGCGGTGTGGGGCTGCGGTCCTGCAGCAGCACTGAGACTGGAGAGAGGAGCAAACTCACGAGGCCCAGCAGTGCGACTCGAGTAACGTGCTGTAACGGGGTGTCGGCAATGATAACGGTGTTATAGTTACGGTTAAAGTAGTTAGCTAGATTACTTGTTACTGATAAAAGTAACGCCGTTATTCCCATCACTGGAGGAGACAGAGGGAGGAGACAGAGGAAGGAGACAGAAAGAGACAGTAGGAGAAGCCCAACTGTAAAAACAAGGCTCTTTACCAGGAGGCAAAACAGGAGGTGGTCATCAGGAGGTTTACCAGGAGGTGGTCAGCAGGAGGCGGTCAGCAGGAGGCGGTCAGCAGGAGGCGGTCACCAGGAGGTGGTCACCAGGAGGCGGTTACCAGGAGGCGGTCATCAGAAGGCGGTCATCAGGAGGCGGTCATCAGGAGGCGGTGCAGATGAAAGTGCGCACTAATAGCTCCCGTCACACTCACACACTCGCGGCTCGGGGCCATCCTCTGCTTCCAAAACAAGCTAATCCTTGTTTGTATAATTTCATGTCAATAACCTCCTTAGGCTGGAATCCATTCTGTTTGAATAAGAACTAGTTCCAATTTAGTGGTTTTGTGTATGTGTGTGTGTGTGTGTGTGTGTGTGGGGTGTGTGTGTGTGTGTGTGTGGGGGGGTGTGTGTGTGTGTGTGTGTGTGCGTGTGTTTCGCTGAGGGAAATCAAAGCACTCACTCTCACACTCAAGAGTGGGAGGGTTTTGTTTGTGGATTCAACGCAAGGGTATTTCATATGTGAGCTCTCTGCTAATACTGGACCATGTGTGTGTGTGCGTGTGTGTGTGAGACAGAGAGTATGTGTTTGCGTGTGTGTAAGTCAGAATGTTTATGTATGTGTGTGAAACGGTGTGGAGGTTTATGTGTGTGTGTGTGTGTATATTTAAGTATGTGTATGTGTGTGAGAGGGTGTGTGTGTGTATTCATCTTTATGTGTATGTGAATGTGCACTTGTTTTCAACTCCTGGTGGGTTCCATAACCTGAGATTCCACTCACGTCATGGGGACTGGTTTTACGTGGTGGGGCCCGAACACCGGACCCCACTGGTCCAAGCTTAATAATCAATGGGTAATGCTTTTCTAACGGTCCTTATGCAGTCTCTGTAAAAATATGGAAAGGACCCCTGGAGGTTTACTTTCCTGAAAAAAGTGTGTTATGTGTCGGAACCCTGGTGGTGGGTTGCGGAATATCAAGGAGGGGCACACTGGGGGAATTTCAGTCCAGCAGGCTGGAGCCAATCATGGAGCAGCACAACAGAGGAAATCAGGTGTCAGGCTAGAAAAGGTGCAAGTGTGTGGTCCATTAGGCTGCAAGAAATCATGGAGGAGCACACTGAAGCGCACGCTTACAAACCACTGGTAAGTGCTGACTACAAGTCATGACTTCAAATTGTTATATAGAATTATTACAAATTATTTGTTGTTTGTGCAGCTTAGTCAAGAGTCCCTAATTGATGAAGTCGACTCAGATTCTGACGATTTAACTGTCAAGAAGAAACCTGTAAAAAAGTATGGAAAAAGAAAAATCAAAAACACTTTTCTTCAAGACTCGGAAAGTGACGAACCAAAGGCAAATAAGATTGTTATCATGCAGCTGCAAAAGAAGAAAAATGGGGGGCGAGTTTAGAGCAAGAGACACTTCTGCCTCTACTGTTCAATGTCCTGCCACAAAATGTCCCGTCATTTGACTAGAAAACATGGAAATGAAAGTGACGTAGCCAGAGCATTGGCTCTACCTGTGAAATCTAAAGCACGTAAACTTCAGTTTGATTTGATCAGGAATAGTGGAAACCGTGAGCACAATGTTGAGGTTTTAAAGGCTGGCATTGGAACTTTAGTCCCAGCTAAACAGCCAAATTGCCCAGTTAAATCCAGTGAGTTTTTGCACTGTATAGACTGTGGGGCATTGCTTAAGCGAAAGTCGCTGTGGAGGCATGTGGCCAGGTGCCGGCTTTCACAGAAAGATGCCCAGGCTAAACCAGGTAGAAGTAGGGTCCAGTCCCTCTGCTCCCTAGCCCAGCCTGTACCGGAGGGCATCAGCAAAAAGCTGTGGTCTTTAATTTGGGCAATGCATCAGGATGAGGTCACGGGTGTTGTCAAAGCAGAAAAGGGGATTCTGAGACTCGGAGAGCACCTGTACTTAAAACACGGGCATGATAAGACTAAGCATGATTACATTAGGCAGAAAATGAGAGAAGTCGGTTAATTAACGAAGCAAAAACCGCAGGGAAACTGAAAACAATTAAAGGATTTCTTTATTCCTTCCAACTTTAACCATGTGATTGATGCAGTCAGGTCTGTGGCTGGATATGATGAGGAAACAAATCAATACAAGACTCCATCCTTGGCCCTCAAACTCGGCCATAGCCTCAGAAAGCTAGCAGATATTCTTGAATGTGACTCAAAAATGGAGCATTGTGTTGATGAACTATTTATTAAAAACCTCCAACGAAGCCGGCTGCTTTTTGAGAAGAGGTGGGACGTCTGTGTTTCTTCTGCTGCCCTACAGACCCTCCGGCAAGCCAAGTGGAACACTCCGGACCTGCTCCCTCTGACTGAGGACGTTAGAGCCATGCATGCACATATTGAGGTATGTCGACCTGAATATGTGCAAACCCTAATAAGTGAGCCAACGTCTAAGCATTGGTCTAAACTGGCAGTTTTGACTCTTTGTGAGGTCATTATTTTCAATCGAAGAAGGGAAGGTGAGGTTTCAAAGATGCCACTGACAGCGTTTACCTTAAGAAGTAAGACTGGGATCCATTCTGACATTGCTCTGGGACTGTCCGAACTTGAGAAAAAGCTGTGTCAGCATTTTCAACGCATTGAAATTAAAGGGCAAAGAAGTGGGAAAGTGGTGGTTCTTTTGACTCCTGAAATGATTGCTTCGATGGAGGTGCTGGTGGAGAACAGAAGGGCCTGTTCCATCTCTGACCATAACCCATACTTCTTCTCCCGCCCGGGCGCAGACACCCACATCAGGGGATCAGACTCCCTACGGCAGGTAGCCAAAGAATGTGGTGCGGTGCATCCAGAGATGCTATCCTCAACCAAACTTAGAAAGCACATAGCTACCATGTCTACAGTTCTCAATATGAAAGAGAATGAAATGGACATACTTGCCAACTTCCTCGGCCATGACATTCGCATCCACAGACAATATTACAGACTACCAGAGAGGACACTGGAGCTGGCCAAAATCAGCAAAGTGTTGATGGCCATGGAGCAGGGAAGAGTGACGGAATTCGAAGGAAAGAGCCTCGACCAGATACAAATTGAGCCTGAAGGTAATTCTTGATATTATTAAAATATGTATGATTTTTTTCCCCTAAAGGCCACTTGTATTTTTATTTTCTGTGCGACAGGGAGAGCAGTAGAGATCCTCTCACAAACGGACGGGCTAAAAGAAACTTCAAGCGGAGAACCTTCAACCATTCATCCAGATGCACCCCATGGTAGTGGCAGTGCCCCTTCTGGTAAGTGTACCAGGTGGGGGATTACAGCCAGGCTGCTTGGTCCTAACCCTGGGAGTGTATATTGCTAATATATTTGTATTTCTCTCCCTAGAACGTGTAAGAAAGCCATGGTCTGCATCTGAGGTGAAGGCTGTGGAGAAGACCATGACGCCTTTCATACAGACTGGAAAAGTCCCTGGGAAGTCTCACTGCCTGGCCTGCATTAATGCCTCACCAGATGACCTTAGACATCGGACATGGAGTGGCATTAAATTCTATGTCAAAAATGGAATCACTGCAATTCGAAAAAAAAAATCTAAAATAAAATTCCTTTAAAAGAGTTGTTTGTTTTCTATTGACTGTTTTGTATTACTTAAAGTAGTCCCAGTAAAAAAAGATTATGTCTATGGGTCCCATTCTGAAAGGCCCTGTCAAAGGGACCCACCAGGTAACAAAAACGTGTATGTGTGTGTGGGTGTGTGTGTGTGTGTGTTTGTGTGTGATAAACAGGATTCTCGGCACGAGCAGAGAGACATTTTGGAAACCTCTCTTTTCTTTCTGACAGCTCCTGGTAACTGACTCGTTATAACTGTCCCACTTCCTTTTCTCCCATTAATGTGTTTTAAATCCACTGTTGAAATGACACTGATGATACCGACAGCAGCAGGACGTGCACGAGTGTACCGAGCAGTTTTACATAGAATTATGTCTGTTTGTATCTTACTATTTTATGTGTTTTGTAACAGTTTTCAAACATGTTACACAACCATGAATCCTCAGACGACACAACATCATGGACTGAGCTGTTTCTGCTTTTGGAATAAAATATAATTCCTCTAATTGTGTAGAGTTGCACAATTAGAGCAGCCTGCATTTTGTCCCTGTGGCCCCTCTCTCATCCCTGTCGCCCCTCCCTCATCCCTGTGACCCCTCCCTTATCCCTGTCTGGTGCTGCATCAGTAAACGGAGAGAGACTTGTTGAATAGTCATGGCGGCGTCTTGACTCTTGACTTTTTGATATGGTAGGGGCCATATCAAAAACATCTGGCACAAAAGTCAACCCGGCCCCTTCTGTCTGAATGCTTGTCGTTAAATTCATTAGTTTCTCCTCTAAACGACCTTCTCTACAGCAGCGAGCCTTCACTTAGAGGTTTATTTTAGTCATCCCTTACTAAATGTTTTTTCCACATAATATATGAATAGATCACATTGTAAAACATGTGATGACAAAGTGAAAGATCCAGGTTTAAGGCTGAACTGAGCACCGTGAGATCTGAAGACCCACAGCCTGCACCAGACATGACACAGTATAAGGGAGCAGCACCTCCCTCCAGCACCTCCTCCTCCCATAGCCCCTTCCTCCAGAGCCCCCTCCTCCATAGCCTCTCCTCCAGACCCGCCGCCCACTCTCTTTCCGCTCCTCTGTTTGTGCTCCCCACTCCCAGGAGAATCCAGGATAAAGGCGTCAATCCCCAGTAATTGGTTACACCTCTGCTGACGGGACGTGCCCAGTGTGGGAATGAGATTATGCTGAGTTTGGACAGAACTCCGGCTCGGGCTGTGTCCATGTGTCTGGAAAGTTCTTGTCAGGGAACTATTATTATCTTTAAGCTTTCTTAAAGGGACAGAGCACAGAAACATCAAGCTCATAAAGACAGTTATTTTCTGCACCAGATTATAGCTAAATATGTAGTTTCCATCCAAATTCCCTGGTTACAGATACATAAATTACAATATACACTATGATATGCCTCCATCCGTTCGCTATCAAACACAAAACACTATAGCATTAAATACGTTGCTAGAAACCCTGATATTTTCTACTGATCCATATCAAATCACTTGCAAATATATCATATTTCCAAATAAATCATATTTCCTAGTCATAGTATGTATATTTACTAGGACCGGGACTTTAACGTGTTAAGATTAATTAACGGCACAAAAATTAGCGCGTAAAAAAAAATTGACGCATTTTAATCGTATATGTGTTTTTGCACAACGGAACCTTCGTCACTGGATGAGTTTCAGACGTACCGATTATACTGATGCACCAACTTGAGCTCTGTGCATGGCTTCGTGACTTTTTTTGTTCAAAAGTACATTATTACTAGCAAGGACCAACTTTAGTGAAATCCCAGTGAGTTAGAGATGGGAATGAGCACTGTGTGTGGAGCGATGGACTGTGTGAGGAAGAGGAGGAGCAGCGTCTTTCTGTGCGTGAACCATGGACTGTGTGAGGAGGAGGAGCAGCGTCTTTCTGTGCGTGAACCATGGACTGTGTGATGAGGAGGAGGAGCAGCATCGTCTCTGTGCGTGAACCATGGACTGTGTGAGGAGGAGGAGCAGCAGCGTCTCTGTGCGTGAACTATGGACTGTGTGAGGAGGAGGAGCAGCAGCGTCTTTCTGTGCGTCAACCATGGACTGTGTGAGGAGGAGGAGCAGCAGCGTATTTCTGTGCGTGAACCATGGACTGTGTGAGGAGGAGGAGGAGCAGCGTCTTTCTGTGCGTCAACCATGGACTGGTGTGAGGAGGAGGAGCAGCGTCTTTCTGTGCGTGAACCATGGACTGTGTGAGGAGGAGAAGCAGCGTCTTTCTGTGCGTGAACCATGGACTGTGTGAGGAGGAGGAGCAGCAGCGTCTTTCTGTGCGTGAACCATGGACTGTGTGAGGAGGAGGAGCAGCGTCTTTCTGTGCGTGAACCATGGACTGTGTGAGGAGGAGGAGCAGCGTCTTTCTGTGCGTGAACCATGAACTGTGTGAGGAGGAAGAGAAGCAGCGTCTTTCTGTGCGTGAACCATGGACTATGTGAGGAGGAGGAGCAGCAGCGTCTTTCTGTGCGTGAACCATGGACTGTGTGAGGAGGAGGAGCAGCGTCTTTCTGTGTGTGAACCATGGACTGTGTGAGGAGGAGGAGGAGCAGCGTCTTTCTGTGCGTCAACCATGGACTGTGTGAGGAGGAGGAGCAGCGTCTTTCTGTGCGTGAACCATGGACTGTGTGAGGAGGAGAAGCAGCGTCTTTCTGTGCGTGAACCATGGACTGTGTGAGGAGGAGGAGCAGCAGCGTCTTTCTGTGCGTGAACCATGGACTGTGTGAGGAGGAGGAGCAGCGTCTTTCTGTGCGTGAACCATGGACTGTGTGAGGAGGAGGAGCAGCGTCTTTCTGTGCGTGAACCATGAACTGTGTGAGGAGGAAGAGAAGCAGCGTCTTTCTGTGCGTGAACCATGGACTGTGTGAGGAGGAGGAGCAGCGTCTTTCTGTGCGTGAACCATGGACTGTGTGAGGAGGAGGAGCAGCAGCGTCTTTCTGTGCGTGAACCATGGACTGTGTGAGGAGGAGGAGCAGCGTCTTTCTGTGCGTGAACCATGGACTGTGTGAGGAGGAGGAGGAGCAGCGTCTTTCTGTGCGTCAACCATGGACTGTGTGAGGAGGAGGAGCAGCGTCTTTCTGTGCGTGAACCATGGACTGTGTGAGGAGGAGAAGCAGCGTCTTTCTGTGCGTGAACCATGGACTGTGTGAGGAGGAGGAGCAGCAGCGTCTTTCTGTGCGTGAACCATGGACTGTGTGAGGAGGAGGAGCAGCAGCGTCTTTCTGTGCGTGAACCATGGACTGTGTGAGGAGGAGGAGCAGCAGCGTCTTTCTGTGCGTGAACCATGAACTGTGTGAGGAGGAGGAGCAGCAGCGTCTCTGTGCGTGAACCATGGACTGTGTGAGGAGGAGGAGCAGCAGCGTCTCTGTCAGTGAACCATGGACTGTGTGAGGAGGAGGAGCAGCATCTTTCCGAGGAGGAGGAGGAGGAGCAGTGTCTTCTGTGCGTGAACCATGGATCTCTTATAATAACGGCGTGAACGGAGAAGGAGGAGGCGGAGGAGGAGCAGCCCTTATTCAAAGGTAAACTAAAGATCCATGTGAAAAAGAATACTCCTCACTGTTCTCAGGTCAAATATTTATATGCGATTAAAATGCGATTAATTCATTATAAAGTTAAACTCTAATTAATTTGATTAATTTTTTTGATCGAGTCCCGGCCCTAATATGTACATATCGCAGTATGTACTAGTGTTATGTAAACAGTGCTATCAGAGGCCTCCATAGGGAAGAGCAGGAAGGAAGGCTAATTATATGCTATCGGGATTTTGAAGCAACGTCTAAGCATTGGTGTTTGATATACATTATTATTGTTCTGTGATGCAGTCAGGGCAGAGAATACCAGTGAATGCTAATGAACAAGGCCTGGACAAGGCTTGAGCACTCTGGAGAGCTCCCAGGACACAGGCTTGAGCACTCTGGAGAGCTCCCAGGACAGAGACTTCAGCGCTCTGGAAATCCGAGCCTTTTCAGACTAGCTGGAGGAGATCTCAGCGCTCTAGAGGAGAGGGCAACGCTGTGTAGTCATTGGAAGCAGCAGGAGAGGAGGCCAGCACCTGGACAGCTACACACACCTATGATTATGAAGTGGCATTTGTTTCAGGTCCATGGACAGCTCACCCACGGCTCTCATGTATACACAATGCTAAACTGCTAGCTCAGTGAAGCCCAATAGGGAAGTGCTCATATTGAAGTTTTGAAACAACTCTCTTTGGCTCCCATTGACTTACAAGTAAAAGTACACTCCTCTAGCTCTGTAACCCATGCTCATTCTACTACTTGGACAGAACCACACAAAAGACAAGTTTAGCTGTTTACTTGCAAAAGCAAAGAGGAGATGATGGCTGCAGCCTTAACTACAGACAGATCTCCTGCTTGACGCTCAGACAGCCAGGCTTTTTATTTCAGAAACAGATAACACCCTCACACACGGAATAGCCAATCATATGTAAAGCTATACAGTAACTTCATGTTGGCACAGTTTCACAAGACACCCGAATTGTGGACCATGTGAATAATGATTAACCATTAACTTGGTTTCAACACAAAATTGTAGATTTACACAATGAATAGGTCAACCCAAAATTGTCTCTACACTTACACAGCCATTGATGTGTAAATAAAACTTCTTTGACAGTAACCCTTTTTGTTACACTCACTATAGAATCTGCTTTCTGTGATCCTGGTGTTTATATTTTGATATTCCAGATAGAAATCCAGATGTGAGCCATATAAGGATCGACCTCACTCCTGCGAGCCTAAGATGGTGATCTTAGCAACCCGTCTGCCTCTTTTACGGCCGCTGGAACAAATGCCCATATAAAGAATGCTAGCAGATGTTCAAATCGGCCTCTTCTTCTACTATGGTGATGTCACACTCTGTCCACTCCGAATGCCCTCTGCTCTCCAGGAGTGAAGGTGGTTCCAGGTGAACCATGGATAGCTCTGAGTCTAGTGTGTATTAGCTGTGTTAGTATCAGCACCCTGGACAGTTCCACTGAGCCAGTGTTTCAGGCTCCTTTTGTGGCACCGGCACCTGCCACAGCTGATCAGTGGCATGTACACAACAAATGGCGTTTAAAACGGCATGTGGGCAAGAAGTGGCGTTTAAAACGGCATGTGGACAACAAGTGGCGTTTAAAACGGCATGTGGGCAAGAAGTGGCGTTTTAAACGGCATGTGGGCAACAAGTGGCGAGTAAAGCGGCATGTGGACAACAAGTGGCGTTTAAATCGGCATGTGGGCAAGAAGTGGCGTTTAAAACGGCATGTGGGCAACAAGTGGCGTGTAAAGCGGCATGTGGACAACAAGCGGCGTTTAAAACGGCATGTGGACCACAAGTGGCGTTTAAATCGGCATGTGGGCAAGAAGTGGCGTGTAAAGCGGCATGTGGACAACAAGCGGCGTTTAAAACGGCATGTGGGCAACAAGTGGCGTGTAAAGCGGCATGTGGACAACAAGCGGCGTTTAAAACGTCTTTGTCTGGAATTGAACCAGGAATCTTCTGCGTGAGAGGCCATTATAAACCAGGTACGCCACAAATCTGTACAATAAGGTTGTTCTCAAACCATCTATTATACATGAAATTAAGTAATTGAACAAATTTATGCAAAACTTATATTATAATATTACCCAAACAACATTTTTCGAACAACTTATGGCACTTATAACATTCTTCATGAAGTGTTATGCCCAAGGACCCAACATCAGCAAATGTCAACGGTGATCACGAGGGATTCGAACTAGCTACCTTTGAGACGCCAGACCTGTGCTCTTCCATCTGAGCCACTAGATCACTAGCTGCACTACTGCTGCTTGTTGTGTTTTGTGCAGGCTGCTTTCAACAGTATTTTTTTCCCACATCCCTTTTTAAACGCCATTTATTCCCCACATGCCGTTTTAAACGCCATTTGTTGTCCACATGCCGCTTTACACGCCATTTATTCCCCACATGCCGTTTTAAACGCCGCTTGTTGTCCACATGCTGTTTTAAACGCCACTTGTTGCCCACATGCCGTTTTAAACGGCACTTCTGGCCCACATGCCGATTTAAACGCCACTTATTCCCCACATGCCGTTTTAAACGCTGCTTGTTGTCCACATGCCGCTTTACACGCCACTTGTTGCCCACATGCCGTTTTAAACGCCACTTCTTGCCCACATGCCGATTTAAACGCCACTTGTTGTCCACATGCCGCTTTACACGCCACTTGTTGCCCACATGTTGTTTAAAACGCCACTTGTTGTCCACATGCCGTTTTAAACGCCACTTCTTGCCCACATGCCGTTTTAAACGCCATTTGTTGTGTACATGCCACTGATCAGCTGTGGCAGGTGCCGGTGCCACAAAAGGAGCCTGCCCTTTCTCTGTTGCCCTGCCTCAGCAGAATCTATGTTGAAACCCAATCTATGTTGGGTTTCAGATGACATCATAGCCTCACAACAGCTGTGTGCAGATGGGTCCAGTAACAACTACAAAAAGGTCAGATCTGAGAGGGTTAGGGTTAAGGTCATCACATTTCAAAATGTGTAAATGATTTTTGTTGTAATTTAGGTAAAGCTTCAAAACCCTATGCCCCTCCCGACCTTCTAAGTATTTGTTTGAATAGAGAATGAAACAATCTAGAGACAAACTTATTTTGCTGCTCACATAGTCATATCACATAATACTCTGTGGGTCTTGAAAATCAGTGAATTGATCAAAAAACGGCTGTCAGTCAAAGACTTTTGAGGGTGTATTGTGAGTTTATTTGTACATTTTATTTAGATAGAGCCTTGTTACTGTTTAAAACATCTTTTGTGTGCAGGTGTGTTGTACAGAAGTATTCATGGTCTGTGTACACAACATGCACACACACATGTACACAACACATGTGTTACAACACAACTGTTTGACACGTTAATGCATAGAAATATGATTCCATTTGTGAGAAAAGTGAACAGGGCATAAATCCTGTTTTGTGATGGGGTCAGGGGTCAGGAGCAATGTGGGGTCACCGTGGTTTTCTCTACTCCATAAATCCCACTGATGCGTCTGCTCTTCTCTTGGCGCCTGTAAACGTTTCATTACTCTGTTCTCTGACTCAGGGGTCACTTCAGGACACAACACTGCAGAATATTAGTTTGTGTATGTTTGTGTGTGTGTGTGTGCGTGTGTGTGTGTGTGTGTGTGTGTATGTGGCACGCTCTCTGTCGAAAAAATTCCAAGTGGTAACTTTTGTTACTTACGTGGCAATACAAATTTTTCTTATTCTGATTCTGATCACTACTGTCTGTGTGTTGCTCATTTTTAAATCAAAGATCAGTGTATTGTTTTTGAAAATGTATCAATATCGATATTTACTTTGACAATTAATGTTTTAGAATCATCCCTATGTCCGAATCATAAGGACAAACATGGATGAAAGGTATAAGGGCAGCAGGCCGCTCTGTCCATGTCCTCCTCATTCTGTACTGTGATACTAAACAGAGCATTTAGACAGAAGGGATGGGGGGACGTCTCTCTTTCCTCTGAGACTGTATGTGTGTAACAGATGTCCGGACAATACATGGCAGCTGCTTTTGTGTGTTATACTTTCAATTATAGTATGTACAGACGGATGTACTGTGTCTCTGTGTGTGTGTGTGTGTGTGTCTATCTCTGTGTGTATGTGTGCATATACCAATTACAGAGTGTGTGGTTGAAAAAATACACTTGTTTTGACTTAAATCAGACAAAGAACCAAATCTGTGACATGTGCTGTAGATGCATATTGGCTTTGGAGCTCTTTGGCACGTCCTAGTACTCTTTGGCACACATGAGTGCATAATGGCACAGACAACCCTTGCATAATGTCACTCCTACAGAGAACTGACTGTGCGAGAACGACGAGACCTGTAGAAAATGGGTGTGTGTGTGTCTTAATCAATCAAAGAAAATTATTCTTTTCATAGTTGAAATCTGGTGACAGTAAAGTGCTGTTTCTCGACCCATGAGCTTCACAGACCTGTCCCTCACAACCCGCTAAAATAGCCTCTGATGTGTTCTGTTCTTTGACCCATTCCCTGCGTCAAGTGAGAAATTGTAATCCTAACCCTACTCTAACCTCTAACCTCTGACTTAATTAAACACTGATCCTGAATATTGTTGGTATCAGATCATGTTTAAGGTGATACAGAGAGTGCAATTGTTGTCACTAAAGATTTAAGGAGCAGAAAACATGTCACACGCATGTTATAGTAGAAAAGTTAAATAATTGTAAAGCTTCTGTGACAGTCGCTGTATAAACAAAGACAACTTCCAAATAC